AAATCTCCTATAGCTCCTTCCTTTCCGCCCTCAATGCCATTACCCTGTTCCAAGTCTTTCAACCATCTGGCAACAATGATGTGCTATAGTTGGCCCTTTCCAGCTGTGCTGATTGTTAAATTTTTCAGAAATTTGTAAGTTGGTTGTTAAGTACAACTGGTGTCCAAAATTAAATAATTTAAACTTACCATTAAATGATATTAAAACAAAGGTAATTAAAAGTTGAAAGTTATCACTATCTAATTACTTTTACATCTTACTCTTACCTATGCTATCGAGGTTATTTATGTTCATTGCATCTCAGTGGTAAACATTCTATATTAGGATATGCAACTGTGTATCTCTTCCTAACTTTGTGTTCAGTGGCTTCACATTTGGTAGCTTGAAATTGGTCATAATGGGAGTATTTACAGCAGAGAAATTTGCATGACGTAAGTCACTTTTTGTCTTTTTGTTTCTCCTGGAGAAGGGGTGGTTAAAATTTGCCAGCATCCACACCATTGCCTATAGTCTGCCCGCTTTTGTCCTTCCTGCTTGTCGGCTCTCCTCCCAGCTGTTTCTCTAGAACAACCCACCATGCTTAATTTTCCTAAGTAGGTAAAGGAAGGAATGAAGGCAGAAGAATGTGGTAAAAATCTGTAGTTTTTGCCTTTAGTGATAGACAAGTTTAGCATCTCTGAACCTCCTTTTTTTTATCCTTAAAATAGGACAATATTCCCTTTTTGTTCTACCTACCCAACAAGATTTTCAAATTAAAGTCACAGTATGCTAATGTTTGTGAAAGCTCTTTGAAAAGGGATATATATATATATATATATATATATATATATATGCATAATTATTTTTTTTGTAGTAAACACTTGCTTAGTTTAAGTTTACAAAGGCTTATAACCAACAGGATAGAGTTTATATCTTAAATTGCTGTCTCCAATTTTTCACAGCCTAACTACCACCTATATTTCCAAGTTTACTTCTAGTGCTTATGTTGGATACGGGGATAGTGCTAGGTGGGTGTGACATCACTTTCTTAGACAATGTCCTTTGCAGATACTGCATTATCATGGTACTTTTTTAACTGCTGTATTCAGACTGTTCCCAACTATTTTCATTCTTATTCTCCAGGAAAAATTACCAATGGCTCAGATTAGGCAATAAAGATAAAACTTAATTATCACCCTTTGTTAAAGGCTTTTGTTAGGATGAAAATATTAAAAGTTAATGGAAATAAAGGCCATATTAAACTGTTGTCACTCATTGATATCTTAGGAAGAAATGTTTGATGAAATTACTCAGAGACCCTTTTGATTTTTCGTGGCTAACATGCATTTTGATACATTACCAAAATCTGAATGTCACCAAATTTAGACACCTCTGAAGAAAAGAAAGATGCTAAGGGAAAGCAAATATGTTTCGGAATCACTACTTTCAAGTTCAATTCCTTTCTTCAATAAATGAAATTTTACCCAAGGTCTCATTTGCTCAAATTTCATTTAGAAATTTCTCTTTGTACGTGGTTTTTTGTTTCATAATTCTCCTTCTCCTCCTGCTCCCTCCTATTCCTTTCCCTTCTTTTTACATTTTCTTATCTTTGTGACAAATTATTCTGCCTTCCATAATAGTTGAAAATAACTCAGGTATCCTGCCTAATTATTTATCATACCAGCTTTATGAGTTTCCATCATAAATTGTTATATATTAGATGTGTAGAGGGCAGATGTGCGTAAGTGCTGTGAGGTGAGGAGACAAAGCATAAAAAATGTTTGTTTTTTTTATGTAATGATTCAGATGTGATAATTAAGTCAGCAAATTGATTCAAACTACTTAATAATCCTCCAGATATATTCAGTTCATTCAACACATAGCTCCTTGCTGAGTATCATGTGCTACAGCAACACAATTGTGGAATGGTCCTGACTGAGAGTCTACTTATCATTCACAGATCATTTTATATTTGAAGTGGTAGAGACTGAACTTGAGCAGTTATCAAAAGCTATAAATTGCTAGTATCTAGTTATTATGGGGTGGTTTATTATTGAAGATTGTTTTTCATATAGAATGTTTAGCAGTTTGTTTTTTCCTCTAGGAAGGATTCTACCATCATTCTTGATCCTTTCTGACAAAGCAACAGTCACATCAGTTCAGAGGTTCTAGTGTTTGATACAAATGTGTTCTGTAAGATGTGCATCCCTGGTAAATACATGTTGACTTAAGTTATTCTCATATTTATGCAGCCAGCCTTCTCCGTGTGCCAGGATATTTGAAATGGTATCAGATTCTAAGTCTATATTGGAGACCAAATCAAGTTAATATTTCTCTCTGTCCTTCTCTTTATTTTAGCTGGACCACACCAATTTTGAAGAAAGGGTACAGACAGCGCCTGGAGTTGTCGGACATATACCAAATCCCTTCAGCTGATTCTGCTGACAATCTCTCTGAAAAATTGGAAAGGTATGCTTGTGTACATTGTTTGTTAGTTGGAGAAAGAAATTAATATTGGTAATTACTTAGAGAATAGAAAACTGACATATTAGAGGGCTTAATTCCTAAAGTAGCATATTTAAAATAGGAGCATCTTATTTTCTTGCTCAGTTAAGAATTAAACAATGAAAGGATGAAATAAAAAATAACATTTTCATGAGAAATGACTTTTTTCTGAGAAATACAGATATGAATTCTGTCTTTAAAGAACATTAAATGGATTTTGTGAAGACGAAAATAATATCTATATGAAAAAAAAGTGATATTTGCCTCCAAAATCTTAATATTTGAACACAAATGTACATCCTGGGAAATCATAAGGTAATTGTATTGGATAGCAAAGAAGTGTCAAAATTTCATATTTTTTAGTACATATTGAATGACAAGCATAATGTCTCTTCTCAGTCACTCTGGGAGGAAAGCATTATTATCTTCATCTTACAGAAGAACAAACTGAGGCTCAGAGAGTTTAGGTAATTTTCCAGCTAATG